ATTTGGTGAGCGTTTAAAGATTGCATGTTTTTTGCTCATTTTCGCTCTAACATGACCTCAGTTTGACCTCAATAACTCCTGACCTAAGATGACCTAAGACTTGAAATTTTGTGTGAAGGTGTCAAATTGATGCCCGGGAAGGTACTGAAAATTTAGCGGCGCTGCGCGCCGCCGTTTTCTTGCTATTCAGGAAAAACCACAGGGGGGGCCAAAATGGCCCCCCCCCAACGGGGCGAGGGTTAACATGGGGTTTGAGTTGAGATAGCCAAGTTTGCGGCGAGGTTCAGAAACCACTATCTATCTAGGTTGCAACCCCCGCGGCCTCTTGGTGTTGAGGAAATTCGTTCCCTTCATTTGAAAATGGGCCTTGTACAAGGCCCTATCTTCAACATGGAGCGATCGTTAGTGTGACGTCACCTCGTTTAGTCATTCTGATTTTAATGGGTTTGTTCGTTGAAAAATCGCTTAAAACTTGGTCTGAACTTTGTTGTGGTGCCTACAGAGTAAAAAGAATCAGCTTTATGGCAGTAATGTGGCCTGGGGAAGGAGGTAATTTTGGGCTGTGACGTCACATATTTGAAAGTTTGTGTTTGGAATATGGGAAGCCTAAGATGTTTAATGAAAAATAAATGCCAGAACCGTGTTCCTGGTCATCCAATCTATAAAGTCGGGCACAATTTAACTGGTTTTAACAACATTTTAGAAGGTGGGATAGTCCCTTTAAAATGGGGTACCAGTCGCTGCGTCACGTAACGACGCAAGCGCTCGTTTTTTCCCGCGAGGCTCTAGCAGCTAGCTCAATTATAGGAGCTAAACATGGGGTTGGGGAAACGCTCCCTTCTCACTCACTATTTGGCCGGGATAGTGTTTGCAATTATTGTTAAAATCTAGCATCTTAAGATTTCAAATGACCCATTTTTTCCACCCAAGTCTTTCAATTCAAGGTTATAACACCAGGGCACGTCAAGTGACCTTACCTACCTCAAGGAAAGTTCCTCTGCTCATCATATCTAGATACACCGACTAACCGATCGCTTCAGAACTTTCAGCGATTTTAAAGGGACCCTCCCACCTTCAAAAAAGTTTATGAATTGGCATGAAAAAGATGTCGCTCGGTTCAGAAAGAGCAAAAACGAATATCTACCAAATTTCACCGAAAAATATTCACCGGTTTTCAAGATATTAGACTTTTACTTTTGTTTACTTTTTGGGATATCCGCTGTTCCTAGCGACTTTATTTGGAAGCAATAGTTTGGCAGCTGAAAGTGCGGCATTTGTTGCGCGCAAAGCAGCATATACCACCGCGTGCTACAAAACGTTTTAGTCAAACATTTAAAAATCGTTAGATATCTGCGCTGACGTCACACATTCAGAGGGGTATTCCTATGCATTAGCCCCTCTGAATCAAAATGCTGCAATTTTGAAATTCAATATTTCTGATTTAAGGCATTTCTCGATGTTGTGAGTGCCGAAACCGGTAATTGTGAGCCAGGGACCCCATTTTGGCTATGTCAACTCAAATCTAATGTTAAGGTGGGAGGGTCCCTTTAATGGGCAACAGTATACCTATGTATTTGAAACGTTTGCTTTGCAAGTTTGACATTGTTGACAGAAAGGCCGGGTCAATTTTGAGATCACTCAAGTCAATGGGAGAAAATTGACCTGCGCTTTTTGGACGGAACGCATAACATGTGGTGCTTGATGAGATACAATACTGAATGATAAAATTGTTTGTTTTGTTGGGGGCCATCTTTTTCGGTCTGAAAAGGCCCTTGCAGAGCTATGACATAACTATGCTCTGGTGTAGTAATTTGGTTGTGCGAGCCAGCGACAGTGATCTGCGGAAGCGAGACTGTTCCCGTGGGACGATTGCCCTTTCGGGACGGTCCAGACGTCTCCCAAACGGTCACCCGAAGAGGATTATGTGTCCTGGAATGGATCCGACATCAACTACAGGTTGGCTGGTGGGGTGACCTCCAGTCCAGAGAGGGAAGCATGAAGACTAGGGGCGATGCGGATTGGTTTTTCTTGAGGATAGCGAGGACGGAAGCTTCCTTATACTGAATGTATCTCAGGCTGTTAAATCTCCTAAGCGTTTTTCTCGACATCGTCAAGGTGTCATCAACAAAAATATGAATGAAATCTGGGAGGATAAACTAAATATAGAAATTGTGGCCAACAGAACATTGTCAGTTACGTTCAACATACTCGTAAGCATGTTCACACACCCAGCTTACATACATGAGCATGTAATAATTATTTTTGATAAACATGCTTAAGTTATGAAGTCATCTGAAGTGTTTGTAAAGTTCCACGATACGGATCTAATATCTTGCTATGCATTATGACCATTTCTGGTCAGGTCATGTCTTTGAACTTTGGCCAAATTTTTCAAGTGACCTTTAACCCTATTAGTGGCAGGGGGGGGGGGGGGTTGTTTTTATCCACCCCTCAGGTTTTTCGGGAATATCTCCGAAGCCGCTGAAGCTACGATGCTGAAATTTTCTGACTTTTCCTAAAACTAAATTGGGCACATTCCCTGAAAATTTCAAGTTCATAACTTTACCAGGGGCGGCTCCAGAGCACTGGGAATTGGGGGGTCCTATTCGTGAAGCGAGTCATTGGGGCGAAGATCACGATGCTTCACCAGTTTTACGAACAGTGAATAAAAGGTAGCATGTGATAACATATACAGTTATTGTGCATCCTCTTTTGACACGTTTTTGCTATAATAGGCGGATCCAGGCGTCCAAAAAGGGGGGTTATGTTTTACCTCCCAACATAGGTGCCCTGACACCGCCTATGCATTACCAATACAATTTTAGTCGTTCTCTCATAAGAAAATTATAACATAACAAGACCATTACCACCCTTTTTAGAAACAGTACCAACAAAAACCTTTTTTACTATACTTTTTGTGTACCCCCAATCTCAATGATCTGTATCCGCCTATGATTTTTGAAAATGCATATTTTTAGGATCCATGTGAATTCCTGATTCATTCTCTATCGATCGGCAAAAGTTGCGTTAAGATTGGTTCAGAAACCTGGCCGTGATAAACAGTCTAAAATGTATCTGCAATTTGCCCGTTTTTACCCCCCTCTACCCCCCCTATTGACATTTTTTAATTTTTATTTTTTAGAAATGTAGATCACGTTGAGGGAAATCGAATGCCGTTTGAATTTTGAAAATCGGCCCGTTAGATCTCGAGATATCAAGGGGGGGTCGTAAACAGCCCCCCCCCCCCTGCCACTAATAAGGGGTAGCCAGGAGCCTGCCACTAATAGGGTTAAAGATCAACTTTTGATTCATTCGAAGCGTTTTGATAAGAGGAACACGAGGCTGGTAAAATTAATTTCATGCAAGTTTTAAGCTAAAAACTTTAAAGTGTTTGAGGAAAAGCAATTGGTTTTCTCATAAAACCGATGGTAGCAGTTGTCGTTATTTGCATGCTAAGCCGTTGACCTTAATTAAATCTGACAAAATAATTCAGACGTAGCGGTAAACGAGCTTATTGTTGTGTTAGGTTAGGCTCTTTCGGTCGATTTCAGAGTGGGAAGGATGATAGGAATTAGGGGGAGACAGGGGGCTTGGGCGGGAGTCCTGGACCTCATGCTCCGCTGGGGCCAAGCCCATCACGTGGTTGGATTGCTCTGACACATGGATAGCCCTGGGCGGTGTTTCACGGCCCCGCGCTGCAGCACGCTGCGCTGCGCTGCTGCATTGTTGCGGCGGTTGATATGAATTCGGCTCCACGCTAGCGTTGCGAGCTTCCGAGTCTGTTCATGTTTCCATGGAAATTGGAAACCCAATGCACGGTGCGCGCAACGCACCCTGTCTAAGCAAAATTTTACCATCGATGACCTCTAGTGACATGACCTCTGGCTATGACCCGATCCAAAATTGGCTGAAGTATTTTTTTCTTCTTTTTGCTACTTTTGACGCTACTTCAAATACCACTTAAATACCCAAAGCTGAGTTATAAGAATGATGCTCAATCCCCATTTCCCCTCCAACAGGGCGCGAGAGTCTAGGCGTTCCTGTGGGGCACGGGCTAACAATGACTATCTCATAATCATTTTGGCCATGAACATCTACTGCCATTCTTTAACACCAGTTTCGCTGCGCTGAGCGGTGGTCGTCCCGTTTGTTGGATTTTACAGCTGGCTGGCGGAAAGCGTTACCGGCCGCCCGTCCACCGCCCGCGGGCCGGACCGAGCGGTCCCGCTGACCCTACCTGACCTGAACCCGGCGCGATATGGGACAGGCAGACGGGGGTTCGGCTCAGCGAAGGCAGCGCCCACTGGTGCTGGGGACTTTTTTAATAGACCTACTGTACCTCGCAAAGTGACGGTGGATCCATCAATCCTGACCGAGGAAGGGCCTGCTAAATTTGAGTAACCGAAGCAATTGACATCCTCGTCCATTCCCCAGGTCAATTGCTTCGGTGACTTTCAAATTATGGCAGGCCCTTCCTCGATCAGGCTTGATGGATCCACCGTCACTTTGCGCGATACTTTTAAGACAGACTGTACATTGCTTTGCTTATACAGCCAGGTAACATTCAGATAAAAGAAGTCTCCAGAACGTCTGGCCAGAGAGCGTTGGCAGCTTTGTAATTGTTCCAAATAACAAATGACTACAAATAGTGTCTGGAATTTTCGGCCATACGAGTCAGTCATGTTTTCCAACCAGGGGTTCTCCTCGGACTGAAAAGTTATCGCGGCAAACGAGAATGAAGAAGAGAAAACCCCACTGCCTCTTGTGGTGCCCTCCCGCATTTGCGCACCATCTCATGACTACCGCAGCTCATCGTCTTCCCTGTCCTCTCGCAAGAGAAGCATATCATGTTTTTACGCCGGGATAATCAAGAAGCAGAGCCATGGATGTCCCGTGACCCAGGAAGACATCTCTTATTGCTTCAGGAAGTAAATTGAGCTCATATCAGCTTCAGACGACAGCCAAACATACGTTACTGAGTGAAGGTTTAAAAGGCTGAGTGAGGTCTTTCATATATATTTATTTCGATGCAAAACTCATTATAATAAGCGCACGTTACACCAGGGTAACCACAGTTTACACTACCACAGTACCACAGTGACAGGAACCCAGAAACAGGACCACGCTGTGACTACTGGTCACAGTTGAATCATATAGATGTCGCCATGGTCACGGCCGTATCACTATAGATGTCGCTAAGAGTGGGGCGGGCAGCCCAGTGCTCCCAAGGCGCCCGTCCACCACAGCCTGCCGAACACGACCTAAACTCTTGGGCCGCCGGAGCGGGCCGGCGGCCCATCGCCCGTCCTGAGCCGCGGCGCGCGACTACCGTCTCCCGGCGCCGCTCACGCTACAAAACCGCGCAGAAACAAGCCACCATCGAGAGGCGACCAACAGTAAGCAGCCACATACCCGATAACACCTGATGGACATTAGATCGTCACTCGGCCCGCCCGGCGTACCCCGGTCACCGCTGCGTGACCTGGGTCAGCCGAGAGGGGCCACGGACGCCGAACCCACCCATCCAGGGAGGGTTCACAATCACACTACCTGCCGTCACAGGCCCCGGCCCCGCGCCGTTCTGAGCATACATGCATAACATAACAATAACTATCACCCACGGCTATCACAGAGGCAGGTCACTGGGCAGGGTCAGGGGGAGGGGGGAGGGGACGGCGCGACTAGACCGAGCTCTGCTGGCTCTGGGTGGTCGGCGCCGGGGTGGCGTCGCCATAGGCGGCGTCCGAGTCGTCGTCATACAGGTCATCACTGCTGCCAGACTGGTCCCTGGGGAAGCAAAGGAACAGACGGTCAGTGACTGAAGTGATGATCCGGGGACAAACAATCAGCCTGGGGCTACGGAAGAATGCCTGTCAAAGTAAGAGATGTGGAGCGAGACACGTGAGGACGGGGAGTGGCCGAACTGAGAAGTTAGGAGAGCGGATATGCGCTTCAGCTGAGCGGCCACAGGCCTTGCTGTGACGCAGCGGAGTGACTAACAAGGTGGAGCAGCAGCTGGGGGTCGGCGCCATCAGAATGTCCCGATCAGAATATGTGATCCACTGCAACTGATCGTACTGAGCTGACCCTACCAGATTTGACCAGGCCGTGCGTGACTCAACTACCCCAGCTGCCCATTTCAGTCAGGACTGATATTCACTTGGCAACGGAACTGTTCCATTCAACTAATTTCATCATAATATGCTGGAAGGACAGGTCATGGAATAGCTTCACCGACGTTGAGATATCAACGACCACAAAGAGCTTGTGAGGAATTCCGGGATGGCCCTGGGTGACCACGGTCGGCCAGGCCGCCCTGGTGTTTGGTTTGGCCTGGCGGCTATTTTTCCACCGGGCGCTGAGTGAGCAGGTCGACTGACCTCTCGCCACGGGGCTGATGAAACCACCGCTCCTCGGCGGGCCCCATGGCACGGAAAGTCCGATACGGGTGGGGGTTGGGGGTTGGGAGTTGGGAGAGCGAACAATCTGCTTTAGTTCTAAAGTAGTAAGGGTAGAGTAGGTTCCACTACCTACTAGAGGTACTACGTTACCGCAGAGCAGCTCCCCTTCTCCCCTTCCCCCGTGACACCTCTGACATGTTCGTTCAGGCTACAATTTTCCCACAGGCCACAAGAAATGACCCCTAGCAAGAATCTTTACGGAAAGCAGACTCCCCCCCCCCCTCCAAAGGGACCCCTCTGACGCATATCTCCCCTCGAGCCCCTGCTGACGGAATCGACGACGACCTCTGACGTCAATGATCGCCAATTTGGCCCCCGCCAACTGCGGACTCGAATGCCGCGCACGCCTCGACTTCAAGTTCGCTGTGTCACCGGGACTGGGTAGTTTTCCACGAGACGTCGGAGGTCACAGGTCATCTGGGCAGCCCGCGGGGTGTGCCGCAATAACACAGACTGGACACGAGCACTGGCCAGCCCAGTGTTTACAGGAAGCTCCGACACTGACATACTGGTATACTGCGATACATCTGGCAACCATCTGGCTTATGTAATGACTGCAGAATGGCGCCAGTGACCCACGGAGGGGGGATATGATCGCAAACTGCTACTGCAAACTATGGGCAAGGCAAACAAGGTTAGGTGTTGAATGATGGGAATTGTAGGATATTTCTGAGGAGGACAGGAGGAGAACTTCATTCGCATTTGGTGTTGAAACAGCTAATCGGAGCACATAAGTAGAACTGCAGATATATTTTCACTTCGACTTAATTCGTAATTAGAGTCCATTAATACAAGCAGCATCAAAAAGGCACGACGGCTGTAAATTTTGGCTCAGAAAAATCACTGTGATGTGCATTTGAGCACCGCACCCGAGAAGAAATCGCAATACTCCCTACTTCTCCCTATCCCTCTCCGTCCTCTCACCTGAGCAGGTAGACGACCGCCTCGTAGGTGGACATCATGATGGCCGTGTTGGGGATCTGTCGGACCAGCTGCGTGCCCAGGCCGCGGTACAGGCCCCGGTAGCCCTCCTCGGTCCACACCACGTACAGGGTCTGGAAGAAGCTGCGGTACTTGGTGCCCTCCTCGCGCAGACGGGTGCGAGCCACCTCTGTGGAGAGAGAAGGGGAGGGTACGGTCAGGTCAGGTCACGGGTGGGTCACGGGCGGGTCACATATAAAGGTTACACAGCGTTTACGCCACACAAGAGTTCGTTCAAGTCACTGAGGGAAAGGGGTGGAGAAAGGTCAGAAAAACGGCGCCAGTCACTCGCTGCCCTCGACATATCCACTGAATTCCTGACTCAGCAGTTGTACTTTGGACGCATACACTCTCCTTCCACCAAACTCTCTTTTCCATTAGCGGTCAGTGACCTCTCACCCACTTCGCAGTGACGTCACCAACACACTCGAGCGTGACAGGCAGACTATGGAAACGACCGCTCCAGCGCTGTCACAATACTGGAGAGCGAAACAGCATGATCTGGCGGAAAATGTTCCGTTGGTGGTTCTGTTTTCTTGCCGTCGAGTCGTGTTCAACGTTCACCGCTGGAGGTGGTCGATGCATTAGACAATACCACAACTATTAGGTAATCTGAGCTAAGATCCATGGCAGGATCGAAGTTAACCTGAGCAGATGGAAAGCGTCATAAGTGGACACTATGAAGCCACTCAAGGCCCAAAAGCGAAGAGACATCGATATGGGTTAAAATAAAAGTATGCTTGAAACAAACGTCATTTACAACTACGTCGTAGGCGAAGAGCTGAGACAGCATTATTGTATTCTGGCGAGCCGCGTCAGTCCTCTGCGAACGTCAACATTTCCGCCATCAATCCCTCATCCCACCGGTCCCGTTTGGTCTTGACAGCGCAAGGAATTCGCCTCGGTCAGTCTCTCTTCACCTTCTCTCTATTCGCCAACAACGCCACACCGGACCAACGACGCAGACCGGTGGAAGCTGTCATTAGACGGGAGGCGGCAGGGGGTGGGATGGGTGGCGGCCTGCCACGTGCCAGGGATAGACACACAGCCAGCAAAAGACAGGCAGAGATGGACACAGACATAGGCCACAGACAGACACGCACAGACGAACGGTGAAGACGGCGACCCAGGCCGACGGGCTCCCGGTCTCGCTGTCCATCAACGGCGACGTCTGATAGGACGACCACTCCGGGAAACCTTCATGCCTGTATACACAGTCCACCGGTCAGCACAGAGGCACACAGACAGACAGAGTGGGTAAGGCCCTTGAGGCAGACAGACACAGTCGTATACACTGTGGGATCGATTGTCGGACGTGGCAAATACATCACTGTGTCAGCAAGATAGGCTGGTATCCGACGACACAACACGTGGCAGACAGACGAGACGTGGTGGGCCAACCGGTGGCACGTGGCAGGCGGACCGGCGACACGTGGTGGTCGGTTGGTGCACCCGTGCGAGGCTCCGCAGGGGGGTGGGTGGCTCAGCGGGAGAGGGTGATCGGACGGGTGCCGATATCGCATACCGAGGTCTTCGTCAGATCTGTGAGGTATGTCGAGTACGTGGCTAGTGTGAGAATGTCGCATCTTTTGTATATAGTGAAAACTATCCCTTGCGGAGAAAAACAACGGAATGTCGTGGAAACAGCCTTTTGCGAAGAAAAACAAAGGAATGACGAGAGACTAAATCAATGTAAGTCATTGAGGCTGCACGCAATACAAAGAGGTATTCCCCAGGAATACCCTACTAAGGAAGATGACCAAACTGCTGCATAGACATTGATACTCGTAATAAGTGGTGGCCCGGTTCGTGCATCTGCCCACGGAGGTCACCCGTGCCATCTTTCTGATGTAACCCTCCTCCACACTATAGCAGCTCGGTGAGCCAGACCTTCGGACCCGACCCGGTCAGACGACTGGATAAGCGTCACTCTGTAGAAGAGAAGGTCGAGCGTGTGCCGGAAAACCCAGCCTTCCCACGCTGCTGGCGTGCAACGAGCACGGAAATCAGCTGATTGTGGCGCACGAAAATTAGCTGACTGCTGTACAGTGCACACAAAGGTCACCGTTTGCCCGCATCTACAAGAGCATGACTAACTGCCCTGTCGAATACCCTACTCGACTGTCACCTATGACAGCTTGGGTCTGTCAATTGTAACAGTCATGACGGCAGCCTGAGGTCCCAGTAGGTATCGGCGAGCCCGTGCCACGCCAGGCGCCGGCCGGCGGGCTGTCCTTGAACGTACTCCAAAGTCCACACCCCTCCCCTTCCCAGTGCACGGTGCAGGAAGTCGGCTGTTGCAGCTGCCGCAGCAGCAGCCCGCCATGGTTGGTGCATGTGCCAATTGCCGTCGTATGATATACGGTTGACACTACTGGGCCGATCGATAGCAGAAGGCAGTCCGTAACGGGGCGGCGGTTCCCTCACATAGACGAGGTCTGGACCTCGGACAGGGGAGAAAACCGGGGCCCGTCGAACACCTATTTGGCTTGTCGGCACCGCTCAATGCATACTGGAACTAGGGGCGCGCAAGAAAAGTTAACTTAGATGGAAACACACTCCACAAATTATCAATAGCTTACTCCTTATATTTTTTTTTTTTTGTAATAAACCCTGAACATAGTCATGAGCGGTCGAGGGATCTAGGAGATTTTCGTTTCCATCCCAATGGGTATGATACTAGCCTTGATTTCGGTGCCATGCTGCGGCGAGGTGTCAGAAAGCTATGTCGTTCTCATCCTGAGACCATAGACGAGCCCTGCCGGGCGGAGGCAGCTGAGGAGACAGTCTCACTCATGGTGAAAGACAGGTCAGGTGAGTGTCACACCTCCGAGAGGACCCGAGGTCCACCATCGGGAATGGCATCTCCTGCCAGATCCCTTGCCCATCGCCATACCGCACCTGGCCCCGACCGACTGGAGCCTGGTGGACGGTGTCGGCCTCCGCGGAGCCGCAGGGACCTGTGCTGCCTCTGCCGGCCGGCCGGCAGAGCTACTGAACCGGACTGAGCCGGCGCCGCCGTCTGCCGTGTGCCATGGACGGCCGCTGCACGGGCGGCGGGCGCGGCGGCCGGGCCGCAAATTTACAAACTGTATACACGTCTTCGGAGACCGAGCCGTGACGTCATGCCAAATGGGCGGAGTGAAAGGCTGTAGCGGCGCTTGGCAGGTGACGTCAAGTGCAGGGGCGGAGCGGAAGACTCGCGGATCGTGGAGCTTACCTACTCGATGAGAAATTGTAATGTTGTGTTGAATATTTACAACTAGCTAAAACCCCTGATCTTGTTTGGGAAAATAGTTCATCCGAAAGACCAAGTTATACTTACGAAATACGATAGCATAATTGTTAAACACAGTTGCCTGCAAAGTTTGAATGTCAATCAGACCGATTGTCCATTAAGCGCCTGTGGCCAAGCGGCTATGATCTTCGCATATCACCTAGAGTAGCCGAGTTCGATTCTCGGGGCGGCGAGTTTTTCTCATGAGCTCCGACGTCTATTTGAACGGTTTTACGTAAGCCTATAAGTAATATAAAGCAAACCCCTCTTATTGACGAACGCGGTTGGCGGCTCACACGCATGTTGCAGGTCAGAGTGGGTGGTATGAAACGACGCGTCTCGACCGTCTCCTTGTTGTTTGCTAGGGGTGCACGCTGTCAGTGCACGGGTTTTGTGCATTTCGCCGAAAATCATTCTGGATTCTAATGAAATCGGACGTCTAAATAGGCCGACTCGGCGGCGCTCTGAACGGCAGACGGCTTAACCCTATTAGTGGCAGAGGGGGGGGGGGGGGTTGTTTTTATCCACCCCTCAGGTTTTTCGGGAATATCTCCGAAACCGCTGAAGCTACGATGCTGAAATTTTCTGACTTTTCCTAAAACTAAATTGGGCACATTCCCTGAAAATTTCAAGTTCATAACTTTACCAGGGGCGGCTCCAGAGCACTGGAAATTGGGGGGTCCTATTCGTAAAGCGAGTCATTTGGGCGAAGATCACGATGCTGCACCAGTTTTACGAACAGTGAATGAAAGGTATCATGTGATAACATATACAAAGTTATTGTGCATCCTCTTTTGACACTTTTTGCTATAATAGGCGGATCCAGGCGTCCAAAAAGGGGGGTTATTTTTTACCTCCCAACATAGGTGCCCTGACACCGCCTATGCATGACCAATACAATTTTAGTCGTTCTCTCATAAGAAAATTGTAACATAACAAGACCATTGCCCCCTTTTTTAGAAACAGTACCAACAAAAACCTTCTTTACTATACTTTTTGTGTACCCCCAATCTCAATGATCTGTATCCGCCTATGATTTTTGAAAATGCATATTTTTAGGATCCATGTGAATTCCTGGTTCATTCTCTATCGATCGGCAAAAGTTGCGTTAAGATTGGTTCAGAAACCTGGCCGTGATAAACAGTCTAAAATGTATCTGCAATTTGCCCGTTTTTACCCCCCTCTACCCCCCCTATTGACATTTTTTAATTTTTTTTTTTTTTTAGAAATGTAGATCTCGTTGAGCCAAATCGAATGCCGTTTGAATTTTGAAAATCGGCCGGTTAGATCTCGAGATATCAAGGGGGGGTCGTAAACAGCCCCCCCCCCCCTGCCACTAATATGGGGTAGCCAGGAGCCTGCCACTAATAGGGTTAAAAGATCAACTTGAAACTTATACGCCCGTCTAGCGGCATCGATTTTGGCGAGGCACTTTTCGGATCTTCGGCATTTTGGAGCATAGTTAGAGATCTTCGGCATTTTGGAGCATAGTTAGAGATCCGAAAAGTGCCTCGCCAAAGTCGATGCCGCTAGACGGGCGTATAAGTTTCAAGTTGATCTTTTAAGCCGTCTGCCGTTCAGAGCGCCGCCGAGTCAGCCTATTTAGACGTCCGATTTCATTAGAATCCAGAATGATTTTCGGCGAAATGCACAAAACCCGTGCACTGACAGCGTGCACACCTAGCAAACAACACGGAGACGGTCGAGACGCGTCGTTTCATACCACCCACTCTGACCTGCAACATGCGTGTGAGCCGCCAACCGCGTTCGTCAATAAGAGGGGTTTGCTTTATATTACTTATAGGCTTACGTAAAACCGTTCAATTAGACGTCGGAGCTCATGAGAAAAACTCGCCGCCCCGAGAAACGAACTCGGCTCCTCCAGGTGATATACGAGGATCATAGCCACATGGCCACAAGCGATCGGTGGACAATCGGTCTGATTGACATTCAAAATTTGCAGGCAACTGTGTTTACCAATTATGCTATCGTAAGTATCCTCATCCATGATACTCGTCGCATCACATCAATCAAACAATCAAAATCAATCACGCTGCAACCATCTATACCAATACGGCCTTGGCAACGATTGTTTACAAACAAAATCGCGCGCTCGCCGCACTGCGCCGCCCGCCGCGCTGTGAAAACAGCTGGCTAACCAACTTCGCTCCGCCCCTTCTCTGACGTCATGGCCGACGTCACGCCAGCGGCTGGTGCAATATGATTGGCGCTCCGAAGGCGTGTATACAGTTTGTAAATGCGCGGGCGGGCCAAACCGGGCCGAACGGCGCCCGGGCCAAACCGGGCCGAACCGCCGCCGGTCCTTCAGCTAAATTATTAGCCCGAAAATACAGCGGTGGCGGTTTGCCAGCCGACCAAACCTGAGCCGACCGTAGTCCGTGCCCCGACCATAATCCCGTCTCGGCGGGTCACACCATGCAATCATCCTGCAATGTGTATAGCCTCATTCTGTCTTATTCCGCTATGGGCATGGGACCTATCGTTTTGACTCATCGGCTACGAATTGAAACAACCACAATCGAAACCGACGATCGACGGAACCCTGTACCGGCTCTCGCCGACCCCACCAGTCCGACCCGGTCCGCCCAGTCGGCAGTCCTGCCGCCGTCGGTCGACCGGTCGTCGGAACTGCGCAGTTCCTGAGCAGCCCGTCCGTTCACAGCGGTCACGGCCCGCGGACGGCGGACCGCGGAGCGAGGTAGGGCGGGTTCAGGGCCGGCCGGCACGAACCGAGCGGCGCCGGCAGTGGAGAAGGTGTTCGGTAGGGCCGTACCTTATGGCGTGTATCACTATTATGTAGCCTGGTGTATTGAACAATACGCAAAGGCCTGAGTGATTGAAAAATCGACACAAAGTTGTGCTCCAAGACTGGAACCACAAAACACGTTTGAATTTGGTCCGACGCTTTCTATGAACGGAAATAATTATGGCTTCATCAGCGGCTACATCGCGCCAAACGCAAACAACTCCACATTCATTTCGGGCAGCATTTCAACCTTAAAATAGAGCAGACCACTTGTGGCAGTGGGTACGGCCCTCGAGCAATGTCGCACCACAATGGCGTGCGATGTTGTCACACCGAGATTATCTAATATAATAACTAATAATACCCAATAGCTGCGCAGTTGTACCATGTGAACCTATCCCATACCAACATCTGCTCCTCTCTGCCAAACGAATACAGCTGGTCAAAATAAACTAGACCCAAACAAACAAAATTAATGGAGAATCAAAAGTGAAAATAACTTAAATGAGCACAAAAAATGGCGCATGTGTTTGTAGATCAGCTGTGTTCTCTAGCAAAAACGATTACGGTGATAACATAAAACAACTTCAACAAAAAAACTGCAATCACGGCAAAAGCATGCCGTCACCCATCGTATTTCTCAAGGCCCTAAATATTGTATTTCTATTTCGAATCAAAAGACTGCCACGTGCCGCCTACGTCTAAGTGTGAGTGTGAAGAGGACCTCAGCTTATTTCCGTATCGCTTATCATTGACTACCAAACGTCAGTTCCCATGCCTCCCTCTGAGGGGAGGGTAGGAGGCAAGGTCCCACACTGCTCCTGTCAGTGGCGAACAAAATACACGGGCCGTGTCACCTCGACCTACACTGCTGACGGCGGGAGGGGGGGGGGGCGACAGGGGGGACAGTGGAACGTCAGCCGACGGACGGTAGGGGACTGGCGGACTCAGTACAGTCGTACCAATGGAAAGGCTGGCGATACAGTCCGTGTCTCATAAATGTCCCCAGAGACAACTCTGCAGACGGAGCAACAAGACGTGAAGACTGCGAAGTGCAGGCAAATTATGCAAACTCCACAAGTAGAAGAAACCCTCCAATGACCGCTTTTCCATCCGATCACGAAGCGACGGCCTCAGAGACGGACAAGCCTGACTGCATGCGCTCTGCTGTTTAAGACCCCACATGGCACCGCCCTGGTCCTCGGGCCTCCACAGCCCGGAGACACGCCCCTGAAGCCTCTTGTGAAAATTCATTAGTACTGACGCCCTCCAGTGACAGATTGCAGACCCTCGACGGCCGTGTGGTGTGGAGACGATTGCATCAGGCCGTGGCAGTGTCAAACGTCATTACTGTCGTCAAAGGTCCAGTCCATACCAATACGACTGATAGTGACAAATGGCTGACCGCCGCTCGCCGCCCGAATAACCTCCAGGGGTCATAGAGGACATATAGGCCAGGACATCAGTACCCAAACGGGGGACGGTAGGGTAGAACTGCGGCGCAGGGAAGGGACGGTAGAGAGAATGATGTTGTCGTTTGGTACTTACCGTGAGGGTAGGCGACGCTGGAAGCCACCGTCTTGGACACGGCGCCGGCCAGCATGAACTCGACAAAGTCCCAGCTGGTCTTGGTGGTCGGGTCAGCGGACCTGCGGACACAAAGAGCTGACGGTCAGAGACACTTGAGGCAAGAGTAGCAGAATAAGATGGCACGTAGTGAGGAAAAGATCTATCAACACGGATAAAAAGCTCAAGTAGTGAACTAAATCGAGGGATTAAAGAAAGGATGAACAAGAATAAGGAGTGGCGAAGGGATTTGCAAACAAGAACGAAAGGTGCTAAATGATAAATACCCGACTACGGGTCAGTGAGAGAAGGAAACGACCCTTGACCACTAGATCAACACTAGGTCCTAACTCATTGCCGCGCCTCCGGACCGCGCCTGTTCGGCGCTCTCCGGCCCGGTCCGGCTCAGCCCGCCTCTCTACTGATGTTTATTGTCCTTCCCGGAGAGCCACAGACCACTATCGATCCCAGCCTCTCTGGGTCGCGGCCTCGGTACACCACAGCCCATCCTGCTCAGACTTCAGTGGGTTGGATTGGCCTCGGGCGACGCGGCGGCATCTCAGACAGACTGACCATCGATCCAACCCCTCCTACCCCTCTCCAAACCCCACCCCACCAAGTCCGGTTGGTTAGTACCCCCAGCAGTCTCGACTCCTGACCGCACCCAGAATCGCCCAAAACTGGTCCACCGCCGACCCATCGCGACACTTAACTCTCAGTCGACCACAGTCTGACAGTTCGGCCCGACACCCCAGGCGGGCCCTCCGACAGCCCCGGCACATTCCTGGGCCGAAATAGGCCTCCCTCCTCTCCCATTGACGTCATAGAACTGACGTCACGGCCGGCGCCTGCCCTGTGATATGTAACCGGCATCGGCACGGTATTGACGCCTCGGAGTCGGGCCTTGCCTCCGGCGACAGTGCAGGAAGCACTAGGAGCGGTAACCATGGCAACAGTTCAGCGTCGCTCAACCGGGAGTGCCAAAGCTGCACCGGTACCTCCGGTCCACAGATAGCCCGGCCCAAGGCCCTAAATACGCCCGGCCCAGCGCCTGTGACGGAATAGCGTCCAACATCGAAAGAGGTCTCACCTGTAGAGCTGGAGCCGCCGCTTCAGTCGCTCGTAGATGACAAAGTGGATCATGGTCTCCGTGATACCGAAGTAGGAGGCCGTGATACCGCGGTAGAAGCCGCGCAGGCCCTGTAAGAGAAGGCAAAAATCGGTAAGCTTGGGGTTCGTGGCAGCTGTTGTGGGTGTCCTGGAGTAACACAGGAGCTCACACGTTAGAAATAACGTGACCGAGGTTAGAAGCACTAGCCAAGAAAATGACTGGCGAGTCAGTGTTAGGGGAAACGGAGGGGAGGGGTGGCACTGCGCCCAGAAGTATCGTAGGTGCGATTCAGAACACCTGTAAGTTACATAAACTCGACGCTCACGCCAACTGGGACATCGAACAAGTAGTTAAGGCATGTCCCTAGGAATGAATTTTGCCAGTGATATAGAACAAAACTAAATATAAAAATAATTGAATGCATCTCGTTCGCTAATAAAAATAAAAACCCACAATAATCCCTCATAACCGGTCGTAGCGTTCCTCCCGATTCGATCGATCTCCACAATCAAAGTCATCTCCCGCCGACTCCATTCCGCCCCAGGGGTGATTGGGGCGGCGAACCGACCCAGTGACGTCAGAGACCGGTGTGTGACGTCAATGGTGACCTCGGTCGGCCGACGCGCACGCAGTCGGAGACGCGCTCAGCGGCGGCACCGGCAGACGGCGGCGGGCGTGCTTGAGCAGAGCGGGGCAGCGAATAAACGAAATAATTTCGAATATAAATGACCCGGAAGGACATATCTATGATTTCATACAGCCAAATAAAAAGAGCAGCTTGGAATTCACAATGATCCGAGTTCTTAGTAACGAGGACCAAACTGTGTGAAACTTAATCCGAACTTCTTAACAAGATTGGAGGCACCGTAGCTATAAATGGCGCTCAGCCCAGAACGGCTTAGTTTGGCTGGCTGAACTGGCAGCGGCTATGCTCATTTAGCCAAGTTTTGTACCAAACCGTCCAATGACTCCTCCTTCCGGAAAGTGTCTCATATTTATTTATCGAACACACCGCAAGCGCCTCGCGTGGTTCCCGACAGGATTTTTGATTACGAACCATAGAAACGTATTATGCCCGCCCAGGTTCCAGCCCTGGGAATCCGCTCCCACCAATCATTTGGACCCATAAAACCCCTCAATGGTGGATGCCGACCAAGAGACGAGCAGACATCACTGAGGCACAGAGATCCAACTTTACCGCCACACCGTCTACAGACGGCGGACCTGACAGAGCAGGAAGTCCGGACCGGACGGCCTACTCTCGAGCGAGGGTGGCCCTGGACCTCGGACACGACGCTGCCCGCTGACACTACCCTTTCGTCCCCTCTCGTCACAGCAGACGGGGTCTGGAGCGATTAGTGTCACAAACCTGCTGTGAGTAGACCCGGTAGACGCAGTCGGCCGGTCGGAGTCGCTTCCCTGACCACTAGCCGGGGAGGGGGGGGGGGGATACTACTGACCTGCTGTGAGTAGACCCGGTAGACGCAGTCGGCCAGTCGGAGTCGCTTCCCGAACTGCTGCTGGTCCAGCTGCAGCCGGGTCTTGATGAACCAGATCGGGTTGGTGAGCGTACACGAGGTGAACCCTGCCGAACACAGACAGTACACTCCTTCAGTCACCGGGTCAATCACTAACATTGCAAACAGGCCAGCAGTAATATGTTATAGTGAATAAGGACAGTCATAAAATCCGTCAACTAACAGCGCAATAATGGGGTTATTCAGAAGTCGAACGCACTTCATAGATGCTAAACACTGGGAATAGGGAGGAACATGTTCTATTGCCTCCCTCAGCTGATGTTCTCACTTCTCCGAAACGGTACTTGTTGTTAGAATCTGACGAGGCTTCCAGGTCATTGTTCTCTGGCCCATGCCTACATGATTCAGCAATATTGATTATTAACGAGGGGTACAACTGGACAACCAGAACGACCTTCTCATCGCCCTTGCCGGGTATGTCCTCTTCCTCTTTCTGTGCCCTCGCATAAACAACCAGCTGAGCAATGCCGGAAGACTGACTCGACTGAGACGACGCAAAAGCAAACAAGGTGGTGACATTTGCAGCGCAGGTTTGGCATGGGTAAAAACCCTCGTCTCCCCGGCGACCTCAGCCGCCTGACATTGGATGAATCAGTGATGTTCCCCTTCAGGAATTCAGACCCAGGGCCAGGTCAAGGCCGGTTCGTCTGTTAGGGGAGTAAAAGGGGAGGGAAGAGGGAGGCTGGTGGCAAAACCTTGCCAATTTGGCACTCCACGAGGGTCAATGAGGTTCTCTGACCTCATGGCGTCTCCACGAGCTCCATGGGGCCCTCTCGTCGGAGCCACTTGATTATTCGCCAAGGTAATTCGCACAGAAGACGTCACAAACTACCTAAGCATCAATCGAAGCTTGTCTTCCTGAACAGAACGGCCAAATCTCTTCACACCCAGCACATTGGCAATGCATCGACCATTACAATAGCCATTCAATATCTGTCGCGCCGCTGAGCTCAGCACTCGGACTTGAGGGACACAGGGCACTCAGACTGTTCCCCGACGGGACGTGGCCGCATGGTTAATTCATGACCCCTGTGTCGTCTGCGCTCTGCAGGCACGGGTACAGACGGCGGCGGCCTCACCACGGACCGGTGACTGCTACCGATGTGATCGGTCTAGACTAGTGGTGTCAGTTTCAGAAAATGTATGTCCAATGTCCGTCCAATTTCCAATGCTTACGTCGATTGTCCGTCCAAAAATGTCCAAGCCAGCCATTTGTCCAAAGATGTCCGAAACCTACGCAATAGTTTACACTCAACACTGTTATTTAATTTGTTTTAAATGTACTTTTACCAGCTTTACTGTGTTAATCATCTCAAAAGCTGAGCATTCTATTCGCCAATCAGTGTTAAACACGATTGCTTTATAAAAATGCTGAGGTGTAGCAAGTGAATGTCCAAAGTTGTCCAACGCCTGCCGTCATTGTCCAACCGAATTCCGAATTGGACATTGGACAAAATCTGAATTCCGAAGATTCAAGTTCCGATTGACACCACTGGTCTAGACCGGTTAGGGTCACGTGAACCGACGGTCAGGGGGGGGGGGGGGGATACTGGACCGGAGGGCCATCGACCACCTGTGCCAACTGTGGAGTCCGGCATCCCATACCGGGCCGGGCCGGGCCGGCGCCGACAAGGCCGTACCCGGTCGGCCGAGGCGAGGGGCCCAGCTGTACCACGTGAACGCGGCGTGATCGGACAGCGAGTCAGTAGCCGCCGGCGGACGGACGTGCGGCCAGGAACCCGGATATAAACAACCGACAGGAACATGGGATATAGACGCGGGGCGGGGACAGACGGACGATACTCCATACTGTTCATCCGTCGGTATATCCTCTGAGTACAAGACATCACAATCATCTGCAAACACCGATATCAGTGGTGTCTACTTCTGTTTGAAGAGCACTATTTTTAGCATGCTCTACAGCATACTTAACAGGACAGTCGATATCGTCGACTCTCTGGCACGCTCAGTCAAGCGCCATAGACAGGAAGGCGATGGTCAACAAAGCTGCGCTGTTCTCAATGAATTACTGAGGCATGTCCTTAGCCGCCTTATGCGTGGTGGATAGGTAAGGTGCTTTTGATATCGATAACCATTGCTCTCACGTTCCCGCGACCTCGAAATTCCATGCTGACCCATGATCTTATTATCACACACCATTCTGTGATCACGATTCTCAAACCAGTCCAATGCATTGTCATCCATACCAAACCATGTGAGCGAAGTCGTCGCCCAATACCATCCTCGAAGCACGCCAAAACGTTTCGTGAATCACATTTCTAATGTGGCTCTTCTATTTTCCTGGAACCGGCTTCAGCGTGTCGGTAAAATTCCACCGTTCAAAACATCAACAAACTAGTTTTTATGATGACCCAGACCACAGACATGTCGAGACAAAAAAAAAAAGACGACGAAGAAAAGACCTACCAACACCGGGGGCTACCATAAACAAAACCGGTCTATTATGGCGCAGTTGTGGACTCACGCGCCATGTGACAACCACGTCACGTGAGTGAGAGGAAGGGGACAGGAAGACGTACTACACATTGTCGCCGTCTACTTGGGGTTATCCTGCGCTCAATGGCAGTAACCTAATCGCCGGCCAAGCGGTGCCAGTGAGCTGGGATGGTATGGTATTGATGAACATTGGTTTGCTGACTGGCTGAGTGGTAGGACCCAGAGAATCCAGGGTAGTGACGTCGGGGAGTTGCCTGTGACACATGGCGTGATCCAAGGATCGCTTTTGGGCCCGAAATTGTTTTCACTTTTTACAAACGACCTTGAATCACACTTGCCTTTTGGAAAACAAGTAATGTATGCCGATGACGTGCAATTTTTAGATTCTGATGCTGTCGAAAACTTTACCACTCTAAAACAGCGAGTCGAAGACACGCTAGAACTGGCGCTCAAATGGTATACGCAAAATAGATTAAAGATAAATCCTGGTAAAACTGAGCTGTTGATCATCAAGTCACAAAAGAAAAAAACTTGAGCACCATTTTTCTATCAAATTCGGAAACAGCGAAATCTCACCTTCCCCGTGCGCCAAAATTCTTGGAGTATTCATTGATTCTGCACTTACATGGGAGAGGCAAGTGTCACAGGTGATCCGCCGCTGCTACTCTGTTCTGATCGGGCTGTCCAAGTTGAGACACAAGCTGCCATACGAGACTAAGAAGCTGCTGGTTGAGGCGCTCGTTTTCCCGCACATCAATTACTGCTGCACTGTGTGGGGAGGATGTACTGCCTCCCAAAAGCACCGTATCCAGAAGGCGATCAACTTCGCGGCACGTGTCGTCACAGGACTGGCCCGACGGCAGCACGTCACTCCTGCTCTGCAGGCGCTTGGATGGCAGCGATTCGAGGGCATGCTTGAGAAACGGGATGTGGCTCTTATACAAAGGCTGGTCTCGCTTGACGCGCCGCCTGCACTGGCCCAGGTTGTACAGAGCGTCGCTCGGACGTGTCACAGAGACACACCCGATGCTCCCACGGACATCAGTTGGAGCTACCTAAAATTAAGAGTGAGCGAGCGAGGCGCTGTTTCCCTTACAGATCTGTGTCCACGTGGAACAGCGTTGGCGGGGTCGGCAGCGGATGAAAAACCATGTATTTTAGATGTCTTTTATTTCTTTCGGTGTTTAGTGTTTCGCTATTGCGTTCATTTTAGCCTTTTATGTACGTACTGCGTAATGATTCACGTGTTTGTCAGCGAATTTTAATACTTGTATGTACACGACGAGAGGGCTGAAAAGCCATTTAAATGGAGACCTCAATACACTGGATTTGGATTTGGATTTGGATTTGGATTCTGGGAGCACCGTGTGTGATGGGAGTGCCGGCAATATGGGCACGGTAAGTGACGAAATCCTGCCATTTTCACGCTATTTCCGATCAGATGGAAGACGTCAAAGCATGCACAAGCCATGAGTGAACGCAGTTAGCAAGTCGGCTGGTGGTGCGCAGCGTTGCAACGCTTTTATTTCATTGGTATACTATCCAGTATCCAGCATACTAGGCCACAACTCATGGCAAACGCCAAACACCCGCAAGCCATGCACGCCGCTAATTGCAGAGGCCCGCAAGGAGACCTCCCAAGGTCACGGTCAAGAACACGACGCCACCCGGACCCGTCGGCGGTCCCCCGGCTCTCGTAACGTTCGCTGACGACTGTGGATTATATAAGGCTCTTTGATGCTAGCGAAAGGCATTCACGTAGCCAGCCAAGATGGGACGCTTCGCCCACTCTGTCCTCGCGAGCCTCTGTTCGTTCCGGAAAGAGCGGACGCCAGCTTCGGAGGGTGACCTTGTCTACCCCGAGGGGTGCTTCATGCACCGTGAGGGGCAACTCTTAGCCCGATGGACATCACTTCACACCACGGTCCACGGGTACACCCCTCACCCGAATGGCGCCCTGACTAACCATACGGGTTCATCCTCAATCCTTGGAACGTCATATTCACCCCCAAAAGATTTCTCGTCCACCCTAAATGGACTTATTTTCCATTACGAGGGGCGCCCTATTCACCCAGAGGGTATTTACCCCCGAGGAGGCCTGTCCATCTCCAAGGGCGCCCCGCCCTGTTCACGCGGTCAGTCAGTGACTGTTGGCGACCTCTGCATGACCCCCCGCGGCTGGAATTCGCCTCGTCCAACCCCGCGGGGCCTCTTTGGCCTCCGGCAGACCAAACTACCGACCGGGACAGGCCTGGACCGCGCCCAATTGCTCCACAGAGGTGAAGGTCGGGGCGGACGCTGATGACGCGCGGATACAGCGCCTCCAGGGAAGTAGCAGAAAACTTTAGACGATATGGTCTCCAATCTCGATTGAATGGCTATTCCGGCAGAGTGGTGGCACGGAGAGACAGTAGTTATGGCCAGATCAGGATACTGCGTGGAAGGTCAAGGCGAAGTTCAGGGTAAAAACTGGAAGGATCGAGCTGAGACGGTAACCCGATCAGAGGTTGGACAAAGGTGGATAAAACCGACGCCGACGCGACTCAACTCCTCGGCAAGACAGTGGGAGAATGAGGGCTCGGGAACTCGCCGCCCATGCTAAGAGAACCGATCGAACGGTATGGGCTCAGTCACTTTGATCTATGGGGATACATCGTCCAGCGGCTAGCATAGCCTGACAGTGACGCATAACCTGCATGTGACAGCGACAGCGCCAGGCGACGAGTCACAGCAGGTAAGGCTGCATAACTGAAACGCCGGCCAAACCGTGAATATCTAAGCCCTGCACCAGCAGTGCGCAGGGTTTCAGGCACCACCCACTCTTTGAAGTATCGTCTTCAGGACTGTGAGGAATATTGCAAAAGATCTCGCGATTTTCTTCCTATAATTGACAATGTACCGAACACCATCTGATCCAAGGTCTCAAAAGGTGGAAGCATCTGCGTCCCCTGGAAGGCCTCTGCTGGCGGCCTTCCGTGCTCAGGAACTGTTTTTTGCAACAGTGGCCCCTCATCAGCCCCGTGTCCTGCATCGTGCTTCAATCTCGTGCTCTGCCCCGTGCGCCAGTCGCAGTAGCCGGGACCGGCCGCCGCTACTGACGGACGGACCCGCCGCAGCGACCCCGGAGGCCTGCCGACAACCTGGCTTCACTCACTGCAAGAGTAAACAGACCGGCCGCACATTGACCTCTAGATAAACAACCGAACCCGTGTAACCGGTAATATCCAGATATTACCGGATCTACCCAGCGATTTTACCACCACAGATCCGGACAGTTCCAGCGAGTAGTTTTCCATCAGCTGGTGGGAGCATGTCGAACGAGGTCGCCCGGTTTCGGGACGGGGCGGAGGGGCGGGGGTGCGGGTGCACGGCGAGCAACTACGACGCACATGCGTGTGCACGTGCACGGTGCTGACGTCAGACGGACAGCAGTCTGCGCCGCCGCCAAGGACGACCGACAGACCCAGTGATTCGGTCACGGCCGAGGGGAGAGACGACGCGTGTGGTCCGACGGACGGAAGGACGACAGACGGAAAGGAAGGAAGGAGAGGCAGAGGCCGAGGAACTGCAGTGAAACAAGCGGCAACACGTGCTGCAACGCCGGAGAATGCGACGATATGAGAGCGATAAAACTGCAAGGATTGCCGACGCAGCTGGCTAGGGTAGCTAAATATAGCAGACTTCCGAGGTTAGAACGTCAGCTGTGCGTGCAAATGTGCAGCAGCCTACAAAGGACCAGGAAGCGCTGGAACTAGAGGCATTCCTCGTAGGTAAAAAGTCGCCACGGGCAGCTCACATCCGTATTTTGACTTACATATACAAGGCTGCGGATCATAATGAGCCTTGCGCCGACACCAAGCGACCGCTCGTAGAGTATCGCCCGACCATCAGCTTGGCGACTTGATTTGGAGGAATTCTGGCGCAACAGATGCTCAGAGTTTGATTTTGGATACGCTACTTATTGGTAGTCACAATTGAAACTTGACGCCCCTTACGATCCCTGTAGGCTTGACGATATGTCCAAGGAGAATATTTAGAATAATGTTCAATTGAATTCTACACATACCAAGTCTAACTAACTTCCAATCGGCAAACCAGCTGATACAAGTCGGATCCTGTTCAATGCCACTCACATAGCACAACTTGGCAAATGATGCGCTCACTTGACTCACCTGATTACTCACCAGCGGGTATTATCGTACTTCGGACTGAAACTGAACTTAGCCCCAAACTGACTACTCACCAACACAGCATGGCGGAGATAACAAAACTGAAACCGAATCAGGCTGAACTATAGCCTACTGACCAGGATGGCGGAGGTTGAATACACTCAATCTGAACCCTGAACGCGGACTAAACCATATATACTCACCAGCACACATGGCGGAGGTCATATGCACCAGGGGAGTCTCGGGGGTGAACCGGCCGTTGAAAAACTGCTTGGCGTTCTGGTAGGCGCAGAAGTAGATGGCTCGCGAGGGCGCCACACCCACAAGGTTCGGCCCGAGACCCTTGAACAGCGCATACGGGCCCTCGTTCTCAACGATGATCCTGTGGAATGAGCCGATGAGATGGGTTACTAAGCTGCCGATGGGACCGCGTCGTTAGGAGACGATAAAACATTGACAAAGCTGTAGGGAACAGCCTTGTTGCGCCCTAAATAAAATAGCTGAAGGGTTTGTGATCTTATCTACAAAGTGGGTCTCGTAATCAAACCACAAATGAGAAAATGAAAAAAGCGTGAAACTAAGACCAATCATGGTTAACCTCGCGACTCCATTCCTGCACCCCAGCGAGCCACTCCCACTCACCGTATGCACTGAAGGAGTCCGGGTCCCGCCGCCCGGCTGGGCGCCGGTCCGGGCCCCAGGTCCGGCCCCAGTACCAGGTGGGCCGCCTGGCGCGAGAGGTGTGGCGGCGCCGTGTGCAGCAGCCGCCGCTGGCCCACACTCCGGCAGGTCACCGAGCCGCGGCCGTGCTGCTCGGAGGCGATGGACGGCACCTGGAGCCGCTCGAAGCCGCTGCGGCTGGACTGCAGGCGGGTCTTTACCACCTCCAGGGGGCAGGTGGCCACGGCGCCCACCGTGCCGCCGGTCCTGCAGAGAAACAGACATCAATTCTCAGTCTCAGCCACAAGTAGTCAGCCATAGCCTATAGTCACATGTAGGTGGTCACCGCCCACCGGGCCGACAGTACCACCGCTCGGTTTTCGTTCTTTTCCTTCCTCCCAGGCGAATGTCAACAATGACGTTCGTGGTTCGAAGGTCACCCACAAATTGGTGCACGCTGCACTCTGCAGATTTACGCGCACCACGCTGCATCGCACTTCCCCAGCAGCTACGCACCGCTACCTCTTGGCCCGGGCAATGGGTGGAGCCGACGCTACTGCGTAGTGCGTGCTTTCCGCTCCACTCGAACGTTCGCCAGTCGCCACCAATGCGTACTGTAAGGACTGACAGCCCCTCCCAGTCCCCATAGGTTCGCCAACAAACTGCGTACCTTCCACCCTACCACACCAAACATTCACTGCATTAATGCGTACTTCATGACCCCTTCTAGCAGCTTCATCACCCTCCGCCATGCTAATGCGCACCTGACAACCCCTCCCCGTTCCAGTTCAGACTGCGCAGAGAACTGGGACAGCTGGACTGAACCAGTCACACAGTCAGCACGCAGTCAGGGACCGACGCACTGCACTGCGCACGACCCCCATGACACAGATCTACGGCGAACCAACAGGAAGACTCGAGAGTTCTCCATCCCCATGGGAAGTGAATCAAACATTGCAGCAACTAATGCGCACGGACGGGCGGCAAGCACGTGACAAGAGGACAGGGTCAGACAGTTTACGGGATTAATGCGATTTTGTCTATCAATTAACGCTAAATGTGCGGTACACAGACTAGTCCTAGACTGGTCAATCAATATGCCAATGAACCGAGCTTGGCGCAGCTAACAATGCAAATGAACAGTTGCCACACCAGGACGGTCAGTTTCTAGACCGTTACATAATGAACGAGCGACAGGTAGCCCTGAGAGTCTGAGGTGAGTTTCCGAACTTACCCTCCAGCCAGGAGGTGGACAAAGGTGTCCCTCGTGGCCATCTCGTCTCCGTCGTACGGCCGGTAACTGGTGACAAACGCAGTCGGCACCAGAGGTCACGCACCAACACGACAAGGCGGAACAGGCCAAGACGAAACTGCGCAGCACACCAGTCGGATAGTAGTGACCGTCAGATTCTCCGCTCGCTCGCTTCGATCTCCGTATGTCAGACTAGCACGCTCTGTCAAAGCACGCTGCTGGCCGCACCTTCCACCGCGCACGTTCGTACCACTGTGCCTCGTCCCGCTCGTCTGCCGGCGGCCAGCCACGCGCAGCCGCGCCTCCACGCCCGCTGACAGCCTTGAACGTCCCCCTCCCCTCCCGTCGGCAGCGCTGCACGTGAACAGTAGTACGGCGCGCAGAGAGCGGCGCTCTGATTGGTCGGCGGTCTGTACCGGCGGCGGCGATTGGTAGAGACGCTCGGCGATTCACGTGATCGCCTGGCAGCCAGCCGGCTGGGCTCGCCGGCGGGATAGAGGTGGACGGCGCAGAATGGAGTCGGACTCAGGTAAACACTGGCTGTTGGCGACCCCTCGGCTAAAAACAGGGGGTGTTGAGGTGTCAGAGGGTGTTGGGAGTAATGTATGGAATAATGGTGAGCATCAGGAGTACCGAGAACAACGACGCTTTCGATGAGCATAGGTGAAAATTTTCTAGAGCTGACTGGCACATGTCGGAGTTGAGATGTCAATAGAAAATTGGCACGTGTCGGGCGCTAGGTAATGCGCAAGGCGCAAGCAATGTAAAATGCAACAAAACATGCTTCATGAAGAGGCCATCTGAAACCTTAAACAAAAGTAAAGTGGGATCTTCATATTGTGGTTATTTCTAGCCATCAACCTGTAGCCTGATGCAACAATCGCTTGAGCCAGCAGACCACCGTGATGGTTCATGGATTGTGAGGGTGAAGCAGGAGATGCTGAAAACTCAGTCTGATCTCTGAGTGGAAGGGCATTAATTCTTCCATTTTCACCGCAGATGATAATGCCATTACCGCCTACAACATTTACTACAAGCGCCCTTTATACTGCCATCTAGTGGGAAAGCTAAAGTATAGTTGCACCGTTCACCGCTAGGGATACTGCGGATAAAATTTCACCCGAGGGCCGCATGACGTTAACATGGCTATTTTTTTGTAACAGCAAGTCGTCCACAATACGCTTGGTACCTATCCATCTGAAGCCGTTCTATGTCCACAGTGTTCGAGCTCACCGAAATCTCGACACAGCAGAGGGCTGATCCCGGCCAGGCCTGCAGGAGAAGGCGTCAGCTCAGGATGGCATAGGCTGGCAGGCGGTCTGATATGAATCAGCAGCCAGGAGCTGGTAAAGGTTGCTGGTCAGGATATTCTGGCCTCTCCCAGCTTCAGAGGCACCTGCAGCAAAGGATCAGACAGTGTAGGTTAGGTCGCGTAAGAAACAACACGGCAGGAGAAGTAATGTTCACACGCCTGTATTTAACTCGCAAAAATGTCATTACTTTGCCGATTTGCTACAGTCTTCCTATCAAAGTGAACGTGCTGAATTTATTATAGCACGTAAGCAAGTCTATAATTCCCTGAGCAACGACACTAACTTGAAATAAATAGCGTTGGGCGGAGAGAACCACTTCTCAGAGATTCACTCCCACATACCCCTCGTTTCCATGTAACAGCAGTAGGTCCACTCAGTACCATACAGGCATACGCTGCCTTGAAGCCAGAGACACCGGCACAGCCTAGCAAAAGAAACACCAATAGCGTTCTGCGTTACACACTAGCACCATTGTCATGCATTTGTCATATTATCAAGTTGTACCAATAGGTTATCATGATCCCCGAGACACCCCAGACTAAACCTACAACACTGCAGGCGAGGCCGGCAGAACATCCCGTGTCAAAACACCACCCCCTCCATCCACCAGCAGTAGCACCTGGCCGGCGCCCGGCGCCCCCGCCCCCGCCAGCAGCTCGGGCGGCACGGTGATGAGCCGCCCCACCTCCACCTGAGCCGCCCCCGCCCCCGCCCCCGCCAGGGCGCCGTCCGGGGCGGGCGGCGGGCCGGCGGTAGATAGATATTCGTTGGTCGCTACTGCTTCCGAGACGGCGGCCGCGGCGGGGTAGTCAGAGCCTGCGGATGGCGGCATTGTTTGCTGGGGCTCTTCGCAGGGGCCGTCGGAGACTTGAGTAGGGTCATCAGGGACCCGATAGTCGCCGGTGGCTCTACATGGCTCGTCAGGGTCAGCTGCGGGATCGGTCCGGCCGGCGCCCGGCTCCAGGGTCGTGTTTGGCCGCCGCCGGATCTCGGGAAACCGTCGCTCGGCCTCTGCCGCCCGCAGCTTGTGTTTGCTGTACAGGTGGCGCTTCAGGTCGAGGTTGAGCTCGTAGAGTCGTGGGCAGAGAGGACAGCGGATGGTGCGCCCGTTGACGTGCCGCGCCAGGTGGACAGTCAGCTGGTACTGGAGCCGAAATTCCGCGCCACATACGTCACACACCTTGGACGAGCCGCCACCGTGTGCGCGCAGAACGTGCGCGTCGCGAGTCTGTTTGAACTTGAACCGCTTCTGGCAGCGGTCACAGCTGAACTGGCGCTCGGAGCTGTGCGTGCGCAGGTGGCTGAGCAGGTTACTGCGACTGCTGAACACGGCCGCACACTGCGGGCACTTGTCGGCCCGACCGGCGTGCACCAGCAGGTGCTTCTGAAACGACACGGGAAACTTAAACCGCTTGTCACACACGCGGCATCGGAACCCGGCCGCTCGGTGTTTGTACAGGTGAGTCCGCAGATAGTGCAGGGAGCACGTCTGGGCGCAGTAGGGGCACCGCACGGCCGTGCGGCCCAGCAGACTGAGACGCAGCCGGCGCGCGCGACTCCGCAGCCGGCGCAACAGGTCCGCGTACACGGCCGCCACTGGGTCGGCAGAGTCGGGACTGGAGGCGGAGGACGGCGCGGGTCCGTCGGAGGACGACAGAGGTTCGTGACTGGAGTTCATGTGGCTGATGAGCTGCTCCTGATCGCTGTACATTTGCAGACACCTGCCGGCACAGGACTGGAGTTAGTGTCGAGCGTACAGCAGAACGAAGATAATAATTCAAGCAAGCCAAAATTCCCTGGCAGTCGTTGACCCACAGGGGAGCACTGCTGCTTCAACCCTATTGGCCGTAGTGTCTAACGGTGGCGGCCATATTGCGCAGACCAGGAACCGGCCGCCGCCTGTGTTGAGGAATAGGGAATTCGGGACCTCGATTTACGTTTGCGGCCGCTGCATCCGTTACGTTCAAGTTACGTAGATACGGAACCCGGCATCTTACGCAGAATTGAGTGGGGAACACGATCGTATCTTCAGAATTCCTCAAATTCATTCGCCGGACCTACATTTGCCCCGGCCGAGGGGGTTGATTGAACCCACCCCGCTAATGCGCCGCTAATTAAGCTAGAATTAAGCGGTAAAGTGGTCGTATGCGGCAAAGTATAATGCAGTGACTGGTAGGAACCCGCTGTAAAGGTCTCAGGTCAACCGGTGACCTCTGAGGTCAGGTCAAGTGATCTAAGGCACGGGTTCGGTTTTTGGTAAATAACTTCGCCAAAAATGGCCGTAGAGCCGCGATTTTGGCATCATCGTGTTCAGCTGGCTCAGGCGCATCGAGTGATATGCTTTTTGTTCGGGTCAGGTCAACTGAGGGTGTTGACCTCAGGTCAAGGTCAGGTCAGCACCCCCAGGTCACGAAGTTGGTCGAAAGAGGTCATGTCGCATATCATTCGATTCGGCAGGTCTTCCTGGGTCCATTGGTGGCTTTCCCGACTCGCTAGCTCAATTTGATCGGGAGTTATTGAAGAAAAATTGTGACCCTTGTGACGTCACAAATGACGTCACGCAAGGGCAACAATGCAAATATGAAGCATAGAACCTTGCAAGGAGTGCATGAAATCATGATTCTATATGCTTGATATAGTTTCAGATCATTCCCGGCGCTAAAATAGCAATTTCCATATTTCCCCATAGACTTATAAGGGTTTAATGTAAAAGTTTCCTGTATCTGAGGATTTTTAAAGGTGTCACCTTGTTCTCCACTCAATTCTGCGTAAGATGCCGGGTTCCGTGTCTACATAGCTTGAACGTAACGGATGCAGCGGCCGCAAACGTAAATCAAGGTCCCGAATTCCCTATTCCCCAACACAGGCGGCGGCCGCTTCTTGGTCTGCGCAACATGCCGGCACCGTTGGACACCATCTGGCGGCCGATGCGCCTTCCACATTATAGAGTTCAGTGCGTTGACCCTACCAGCTTGCTGGTGTACTTTTGCAGTAATCCGGTCAAAAAGGCCAGATCCTGTTTCTCATCAAACTCATTACAGTGTCCGGGCTGCCGCTAGGGTTAGCCACTTGATCTCGAGCACTACCAACCACTACAATTACAACCCAAGTAGCTCATGTCTTGCCATTCTGATTCCGGCATTCGGCAATGCACACACACAATGCACTCACACGATACACATGTAGTTGGCGGTGTGTCGCTCGGCGCAGTGACCGGCCGCCTCCGTCGCTCCAGCCAGTGTCAGACGGCAGCAGCCGCACTCGAGTCGGCCGCCGTGCCGCTCCGTCACGTGACTGAGGACGTCATCCGGCGGCAGGAGCGCCGTGCATGCGGGACACCACACCTGGACCGGCTGCTCCGGCGGGGCGGCGCTGTCGGCGGGGGCGGGGTCGTCAGACAGTGTAAGGTATTGAAACACGAAGATTCTTCAGCTGGCGGCTGTAACCACATCAGTAGTTACGAACTGACTACCTCGTTGCGAAAATCTTAGTGACTGCCAGCTGACGATCCAGCCAAAAGAAATAAAACCCTATTTGAATAGCCGCAGTTACTTGTCATGAACAATAATACTTTCTAACGAGCATTAACGAGTCTCGTGCATAACCATCGCTACCAAAAACAAGACCGACTCGAGATCCCACCAAAAACCGAACCAGCACTCACCTTGCGACCTTATGCAGCTTTTCGACGTGCGCCTTGAGACTGCGTTCAGACCCGAACGTCTGACGGCACATGTGGCAGCAGAGAGAACGCCGGGTCTTCCCCGCCACCCGTAACTGATCCCATCGGGCGTCCCCTGTCTGGGGGTGCACCACAGCGCTGGCCGGCGCGGCGGCACGTCTAATGGTTCGCCAGCCAGGCCAGTCTGGGTCCGAGTTGGTATCTTGGCCGTCCTCCGCTAAGTGGTCGTCCTCTTGCTCATTGTCCTCCTGTATATGGTCGTCCTTGTGTACATCATCCTGTACAAGACTGACCTCTTTTTCCCTGTCCTCCTGTTCGTCATGACCGTTCTCCGCTGCTGCAGTAGGAGTGGCGATATTCGGATAGATAGGTCGACCAGCGGAGGGCTCGCAGATGTCTGAGCCAATAGGAGCGCCGCTCGTGACGGCTGGAAACATTGGAGCCGCGCTCGCTGCTTTACCGACATCCCGACGGTCCGCTGTTGTCTCCCGAACCTCGTCAGCCGTAAGGTAAGATGTCCTCTGTGACTCCCTTCCCGTCTGCCGGTCCTCCGACTCAGAGCTACAGCTCTCTGTTTCGCTGAGATCCGAGCCGTCGCCGCAGTTATCGCTGTTAGCGGCGGTTTCCCCGGACGATGGCGGAGGCACACTGGTACTGATGACTATCCTGCCTCGCAGCGCCTCCAGTCCGAACTGGTCCGTCACCAGACGGCGCACCAGGTCAGCAGGATCTCCGCCGCCGGCAGTCAGCCGACAACAGGCTGCGTACGAGGTCTCGGAGCGGCGTCTGCCGCGGCGCAGCAGGACTTTACAGCCGCTCCGCGCCTCCGCCGCCCTCCGGTAGTCGGCGGCCACGGCGTCAGCAGCGGCGGCGAACCGCGTCATCAGCCGTTGGCAGCGCCGCAGTCGGCGCCGGCAGCTGCTGCAGATACCGCTGACCAGAGGGAGTTCCGAGTCGAGCCCGACCAGCCGGTGCTCCAGCTCCGACAGCGTGGCGGCGTCAGAGAGGACGGCTCGCAGCCCGCGGGTGGGTCGCGGCGCCGGCGCACACTTGTTACAGAGCACACACAGCCGGGAGAAGGCCGGCAGAGAGACGTGCACCGCGGCAGACGCCATGGTGAGTGCCTCGGCAGTCTGCAAACTGGTGGTGGCAGTCTGTCAAGATCAGAAATGGTTCAAATGCAAAGTTAGTTACATAATGATAATCCCCTTCACTTACACTACATCAACCTGTCAGTTGCCACAGTATTCCATCAGTCGCCAGCCATCACTTGCTGGGGCAGTGGAGGGGTATTTAACACCCCCAGCCAATAACTCAAGAAACAATAGGTAACTGCAGCAGCCAGCAGCACAAGGCAAGCAGGTGGCAAATAAAGGCCAGTAACAACCGACAAGACACTTGCAATACCCAAGATTCTTACAGATAGCAATACCTAAGTGCTTAAAATTGTTTGTATCATGGGTCAGGTCAGGTCAAGGTCAGGTCAAATGCTTGAAAATGAGTATTCAATAGCATGGTCTTTGGGATCAATCCTTCTGTCATAAACTGTCAGGACTCAAGATTGAGTAGCATCTTTCATCAAATTGTTGCATAAGTGTCAAATTCATACGGGCATCAGTTGAGCATAGTTCAGGTTCAAGGTCTGAGGGCTGTTCAGGTCCGTGCAGCATAGATCTGTGCTGAACACTTCGTAAGCCGCCTGGCTGATGGCTCTGCCCATTCTAGGCCGGCATGCAGGACCAGAGTGTTGCTGCAGCATATTCTGTGCCCGGCGGAACCATGGCACGGATGGTTGATGGACTGGTGGTTTTCGTCCTATGGCTGGGTAAAATGCATTCAAATGTGGTTAATAGCATGTTCCACTGAAAAGAGATGATAGTGATAATGATACCCAAAAAACAACAAAAAATATTTAAAATAGGAAATAAAGAATGGTTAACCTTAATTGGCGCCACTTTTGTCTCCTGCAGCACCAAATTTCATGCTGCACAGCAGGGAAGTATTGTACAGTAGGTAGGCAACCAAACAGCAAACGCCACACATGTGATGTAACTGTGTGGGCTGGACTAACGGGCAATGTAGCCCTCACGGCTCACTGTGAATATATGGTGCCTCATACTTCATTTTTGCTGCGCAGCCAAACAGCCCTCTGGTCAAGCAGATAGTGCAAGTGACATCTTTTCCCAGAAATCAAAGTTTGCATTGAAGTACCTTTCCGTGAAAGCCAAAGGATTATGGGTGCAATAAAACATAGTGGGTGCATACTGCATCATGCATGTGACTAATAAGCTTTCTAAAGCTTCTAAATGCTATCAAACATGATTTGAAATGGTTAAAATAATCAGAAACCCTGGACTTGCAAAAAAGAAGACCAAAAACTTATTCCAGTCTGGACAGTCAAAATTCAAAAACTTGCACAAAAACTTACCCTGCTCACATGGAAAATGATAAGTTTTTGCAACTTATTCTTTAGTACATTATGTGTCAGGAATAACACAAAATTAACCAATAATTTTATACAGCAATAGCTTACTATCAAAAGCAATCAAAACACTTATGTACAATGCACAACACATTCAAAACATATGTAACGGAAGTTGGCACAGATTCAGCACAGATTCAGCACAGCACAGATTCGGTAGGGGGAAAAAAGGCCCCGGTAGAGGGAAACCTTTATGACCCGTTTTCCCCTAGAAATGACGTCACAAAGAGGTAAAAATGGGTATCAATCGAAAGCTCTCGTTTACCCAGACACAGTCCTGCAGGAAAATTTCACTTTTTCCCCATAGGAAAGTTTGTACGGGAAAATCAAAATTTTGGGTCAATGGGGGGTCCCCCCGATTTCGTTCAAAATCGGCACACAGGTGCCCCACCACCAGCCGAGAAACTTTCCCCAAAACGGTCCCCGTTGCATTGACGTTTAAGGCCCGTAAAGCCCCCTAGACTCGTAAAATATCCGTAAAATCGCCTTTGTACGGACAAAAAAGTGGTGCTATGGTAAAAATGGGTATCAATCGAAAGGTCTCGTTTACCCAGACACAGTCCTGCAGGAAAATTTCACTTTTTCCCCATAGGAAAGTTTGTACGGGAAAATCAAAATTTTCGGTCAATGGGGGGTCCCCCCCGATTTCGTTCAAAATCGGCACACAGGTGCCCCAACACCAGCCGAGAAACTTTCCCCAAAACGGTCCCCGTTGCATTGACGTTTAAGGCCCGTAAAGCCCCCTAGACTCGTAAAATATCCGTAAAATCGCCTTTGTACGGACAAAAAAGTGGTGCTATGGTAAAAATGGGTATCAATCGAAAGCTCTCGTTTACCCAGACACAGTCCTGCAGGAAAATTTCACTTTTTCCCCATAGGAAAGTTTGTACGGGAAAATCAAAATTTCAGGTCAATGGGGGGTCCCCCCCGATTTCGTTCAAAATCGGCACACAGGTGCCCCACCACCAGCCGAGAAACTTTCCCCAAAGCAGTCCCCGTTGCATTGACGTTTAAGGCCCATAAAGCCCCCTAGACTCGTAAAAAAATCCGTAAAATCGCCTTTGTACGGACAAAAAAGTGGTGCTATGGTAAAAATGGGTATCAATCGAAAGCTCTCGTTTACCCAGACACAGTCCTGGAGGAAAATTTCACTTTTTTCCCATAGGAAAGTTTGTACGGGAAAATCAAAATTTTGGGTCAATGGGGGGTCCCCCCGACTTCATTCAAAATCGGCACACAGGTGCCCCACCACCAGCCGAGAAACTTTCCCCAAAACGGTCCCCGTTGCATTGACGTTTAAGGCCCGTAAAGCCCCCTAGACTCGTAAAATATCCGTAAAATCGCCTTTGTACGGACAAAAAAGTGGTGCTATGGTAAAAATGGGTATCAATCGAAAGCTCTCGTTTACCCAGACACAGTCCTGCAGGAAAATTTCACTTTTTCCCCATAGGAAAGTTTTTACGGGAAAATCAAAATTTTGGGTCAATGGGGGGTCCCCCCGATTTCGTTCAAAATCGGCACACAGGTGCCCCACCACCAGCCGAGAAACTTTCCCCAAAACGGTCCCCGTTGCATTGACGTTTAAGGCCCGTAAAGCCCCCTAGACTCGTAAAATATCCGTAAAATCGCCTTTGTACGGACAAAAAAGTGGTGCTATGGTAAAAATGGGTATCAATCGAAAGCTCTCGTTTACCCAGACACAGTCCTGCAGGAAAATTTCACTTTTTCCCCATAGGAAAGTTTGTACGGGAAAATCAAAATTTTGGGTCAATGGGAGGTCCCCCCCCCGATTTCGTTCAAAATCGGCACACAGGTGCCCCACCACCAGCCGAGAAACTTTCCCCAAAACGGTCCCCGTTGCATTGACGTTTAAGGCCCGTAAAGCCCCCTAGACTCGTAAAATATCCGTAAAATCGCCTTTGTACGGACAAAAAGTGGTGCTATGGTAAAAATGGGTATCAATCGAAAGCTCTCGTTTACCCAGACACAGTCCTGCAGGAAAATTCCACTTTTTCCCCATAGGAAAGTTTGTACGGGAAAATCAAAATTTTGGGTCAATGGGGGGTCCCTCCCGATTTCGTTCAAAATCGGCACACAGGTGCCCCACCACCAGCCGAGAAACTTTCCCCAAAACGGTCCCCGTTGCATTGACGTTTAAGGCCCGTAAAGCCCCTTAGACTCGTAAAATATCCGTAAAATCGCCTTTGTACGGACAAAAAAGTGGTGCTATGGTAAAAATGGGTATCAATCGAAAGCTCTCGTTTACCCAGACACAGTCCTGCAGCAAAATTCCACTTTTTCTCCATAGGAAAGTTTGTACGGGAAAATCAAAATTTTGGGTCAATGGGGGGTCCCCCCCGATTTCGTTCAAAATCGGCACACAGGTGCCCCACCACCAGCCGAGAAACTTTTCCCAAAACGGTCCCCGTTGCATTGACGTTTAAGGCCCGTAAAGCCCCCTAGACTCGTAAAATATCCGTAAAATCGCCTTTGTACGGACAAAAAAGTGGTGCTATGGTAAAAATGGGTATCAATCGAAAGCTCTCGTTTACCCAGACACAGTCCTGTAGGAAAATTTCACTTTTTCCCCATAGGAAAGTTTGTACGGGAAAATCAAAATTTTGGGTCTATGGGGGGTCCCCCCGATTTCGTTCAAAATCGGCACACAGGTGCCCCACCACCAGCCGAGAAACTTTCCCCAAAACGGTCCCCGTTGCATTGACGTTTAAGGACCGTAAAGCCCCCTAGACTCGTAAAATATCCGTAAAATCGCCTTTGTACGGACAAAAAAGTGGTGCTATGGTAAAAATGGGTATCAATCGAAAGCTCTCGTTTACCCAGACACAGTCCTGCAGGAAAATTTCACTTTTTCCCCATAGGAAAGTTTGTACGGGAAAATCAATATTTTGGGTCAATAAGGGGTCCCCCCCCCCGATTTCGTTCAAAATCGGCACACAGGTGCCCCACCACCAGCCGAGAAACTTTCCCCAAAACGGTCCCCGTTGCATTGACGTTTAAGGCCCGTAAAGCCCCCTAGACTCGTAAAATATCCGTAAAATCGCCTTTGTACGGACAAAAAAGTGTTGCTATGGTAAAAATGGGTATCAATCGAAAGCTCTCGTTTACCCAGACACAGTCCTGCAGGAAAATTCCACTTTTTCCCCATAGGAAAGTTTGTACGGGAAAATCAAAATTTTGGGTCAATGGGGGGTCCCCCCGATTTCGTTCAAAATCGGCACACAGGTGCCCCACCACCAGCCGAGAAACTTTCCCCAAAACAGTCCCCGTTGCATTGACGTTTAAGGCCCGTAAAGCCCCCTAGACTCGTAAAATATCCGTAAATCGCCTTTGTACGGACAAAAAAGTGGTGCTATGGTAAAAATGGGTATCAATCGAAAGCTCTCGTTTACCCAGACACAGTCCTGCAGGAAAATTTCACTTTTTCCCCATAGGAAAGTTTGTACGGGAAAATCAAAGTTTTGGGTCAATGGGGGGTCCCCCCTGATTTCGTTCAAAATCGGCACACAGGTGCCCCACCACCAGCCGAGAAACTTTCCCCAAAACGGTCCCCGTTGCATTGACGTTTAAGGCCCGTAAAGCCCCCTAGACTCGTAAAATATCCGTAAAATCGCCTTTGTACGGACAAAAAAGTGGTGCTATGGTAAAAATGGGTATCAATCGAAAGGTCTCGTTTACCCAGACACAGTCCTGCAGGAAAATTTCACTTTTTCCCCATAGGAAAGTTTGTACGGGAAAATCAAAATTTTGGGTCAATAAGGGGTCCCCCCGATTTCGTTCAAAATCGGCACACAGGTGCCCCACCACCAGCCGAGAAACTTTCCCCAAAACGGTCCCCATTGCATTGACGTTTAAAGCCCCCTAGACTCGTAAAATAACTCGCAAAATTTTGATTTTCCCGTACAAACTTTCCTATGGGGAAAAAGTGAAATTTTCCTGCAGGACTGTGTCTGGGTAAACGAAAGCTTTCGATTGTTACCCATTTTTACCATAGCACCACTTTTTTGTCCGTACAAAGGCGATTTTACGGATATTTTACGAGTCTAGGGGGCTTTACGGGCCTTAAACGTCAATGCAACGGGGACCGTTTTGGGGAAAGTTTCTCGGCTGGTGGTGGGGCACCTGTGTGCCGATTTTGAACGAAATCGGGGGGACCCCCCATTGACCCAAAATTTTGATTTTCCCGTACAAACTTTCCTATGGAAAAAAAGTGAAATTTTCCTCCAGGACTGTGTCTGGGTAAACGAGAGCTTTCGATTGATACCCATTTTTGCCATAGCACCACTTTTTTGTCCGTACAAAGGCGATTTTACGGATTTTTTACGAGTCTAGGGGGCTTTATGGGCCTTAAACGTCAATGCAACGGGGACTGTTTTGGGGAAAGTTTCTCGGCTGGTGGTGGGGCACCTGTGTGCCGATTTGGAACGAAATCGGGGGGGACCCCGCATTGACCCAAAATTTTGATTTTCCCGTACAAACTTTCCTATAGGGAAAAAGTGGAATTTTCCTGCAGGACTGTGTCTGGGTAAACGAGAGCTTTCGATTGATACCCATTTTTAC